CTACACAGCTACCTTCTGCCTCCTCCAATTCCATAATCACTTCCTCCTGACCTAACTCTTGTCCTTCTCCTATATCTCCTTCACTTCCCAAGCCTCCCTCCCCGGACCAACCTGAATATCCTGCTCCTTCACCTACATCTGCTGGCTGTAGTCCAAGTTGCCCCCCCTCCTCCTCCCTATACTCATGAAATCCTCCTCTCTCCCCTTGCTCATGATTCCTCTCATCTCCTATATCCTCATGATGTCCCTCCAGAGAACTTAAAAGTTGCTCTACCGTAGATGTAGTATCTTGGATACTTGAGCCAGAGTCGAAGAGGATCGGAGGGCGCACGTTTGGTCGATCACCTAATATCCGTTCTAATCGAAAGAAATAGGGACATCTTGATAGAAGTTTATCTGTATTATAGAATTTCTTATTTAGTACAGTCTATTTTTTTTTTTTTTTTAATTTCCTTATTAAATAGAGAAAAATAATTAATAGATTAAAAATAAAATAAAAAAGTTTTCATACTCCGTAAACTTCTCCGTCCTTCATCTAAATCCTGCTCCGATAAACTCCATCCAGTCTGATCATTCAATCTTGCTGCTGCTCGATAGGATTTCATCAGATTGTCATACTTGTAGCCAACTTTAACAACTTCTTTCGTAGGAATAACTGTTGCAATTTCAGCTATTATCGCTTTCTTGGTGATCCCGGAACCCCTCTTCAACTTTTGTAAGTTGTTTGGATCTTCGAGCCATTGGATTAGCTTTTCTGTCTCAGCCTTGGTCCAAGCAGTATTTTCAGAAAAATTGCGTCGCATTTTGACTATCGCTCAACATTGCACTGCGACTTTGTCGTTCAGATTGGTTGTGATCCTACGCAGATGAAAAAATTTTCACATTATATGCTATACTAGTAGCTTACCAATACTTGTTTCTGGTATACATAAGGATTCTCAAATATAATACTTGAAGGTCTGAAATACAATTGGCCCACTTGCTTTAGTAACCTAATGCATGTTATAGTAAAAACCTCTTCCTACCCACAACCTTTTCTAACTTTGAATACCACTAGTGTTGGCATGAAGGGGCGGGTTAGTGATGAAAATCAACGAAGACCTCGGCGCTCACATTTATGAACCCCCCTTCGAAGGTCTGAAGGGGTTTACTGTAGAAGATCCGTAAAAAATATGCCACAATATCTGAATCAGGACTGCAATATTATGCAGCTAAAATGAAGGAGTTAAAGAGAAAAAGGTGAATAAAGAAAACTAATTCGGGATATGTCCTTCTGTTGCCCTCAGCACTTCTGCCTGCATGCATGCCTTCATCATGACTACGACCTTCAAAAAACTCTGATAGTGCCGAAAAAAGGGAAAAACATCAAGAAGGTCGGCCTTGGCGAACCCCTCCTTCAGAGGTCATTTGGTAAACCCCCCCTTGATCCCGCCAAGGGGGGGTTCTTCGTCGCAACATTGCCCGTACAGTACGAGAGGGGGGGTGCTGTGAGGAAAGGAAAGCCTGAATCTACGAGTAGTAGAATGGGTACGATTTGCATTACATCATTCTGAAATACAGTACACAAGCTAGGCCATGTGTCTCTCATGACTATTTCTAGCGATAGTCTAATTCAAGCTAACATCCTTCCCCCTTCCGGCCACCCAGCCAAATACCGTTAAAAAAAAAAAAAAGTTTGCTGGCAGCCACCAGAACACGGTCCGCATCTACAATATCCGAGGGTGGCGAGCGGCGGCTCCGCGGATTTCGGAAAATGCTGAAACCGCGGGACACGAGTTGTATCATACCAGTACAGTAGAGTCGTGTCGGGTGCTAAATTATCGTGTCGGCAGCTAGACTATGTCGGGAACTTGGGTACGCAGATTCGGTATATTTGAGTCCAGGTGTTATAGAGGTTGATATCGCCTTGTGCTCAAATCGGTTCTACCGGCGGATAGTGCGATACCTTGGCTCTCGACATAGCAGATAACTATTTTTTTTTTTTGGAAACCTTCGTTGTTTTGGGCCTCATTATTGCAGCTTGAACGAATCATTCTGTCTTGGTAATTAGTCAACCGGACGTGCTCACCGAAGCAAAATACCGGTACTCGAGTAGAGTTTTGCCTGCAAAGCGTCTAATGCGGTATACGGTAATCGGGCTCGAATCGAAGGTTTGGAATGCCAACCGGACACCACCCTAATTTGTGTCGGTCGCGCGCCCGGTGGCTCGGCCCAATCAATGGAAAGCTAGGAGGGAAGGTATGGTGTGGGAACTCTGTACCCGGAGCACTAAGTGGGGGATTGGCTGGCCAAAGTCAAAACCTAAAGACTTTCTAACAGCAATCCCAATCAAAAAAAAAAAAAAACTCTATTAGGTGAAAGAGTAGCTTGTTGGCTTCAAACTAATAGAGAGAGAATCAAAATGTCTGGTGTTTTCATAAAGCTATTGAAGCTTAAAAGGGGGCAGATTTTGCATGAGAGAATTGAGATGTCCAGGGCATTTTTGGGCATGTTAATTTCTATCGATATCCAGAAGGCGTACAGTAAATATAATTTTGCCAAGATATTAACCTATGTTAAGGCAATTCTTAGAATCTTGACATACTATTACTGAGTCAGGATGAATGCCCGCCTACCCCGGCTACAGTGTTCCCACACCATAGGAAGATTTGGCGCCCTCCTCCAACTTGGCCATCCCCGAGTGATTCTTGGTGCCTGCCCAATACCCACACAATTCACCCCAGCATGGTATTATAGTCTAGTACGGGAACTGCGTGAATCTTCTTCCGACCGGGTCGAGGACATAAGAAAAATGTGGCGAATAGGGTGTCCGAGGTAGACTATCGGTAGGGGACCTAAAATGACACGATGATAAGGGGAACCCCCGCGATCGTTGGGTCGAACCACGGCTCATCTGTCGAACCGGTACGGTGCAATTCCGTACCGTAATATGCAGCGCTGACGCTTTGTCTTGGCGGAGGGGTGTACTAGTGCTGGTGCGAGTACGGTATGCGACTGTTTCACGGTTCTACAGTACGGTAATTGGGAGAGATACCGTAGGTAGATACGATAGCACATGTATGGTGCCGGCACCTTAGAATCGACCCTCAGTGCCATCCAGGCGTGGGCACTAGTCTTAATGTAGTATCTGATCATGCTGCTTTAGGCAAGGTGTTGGTGTATTACTCAGCAAAAACCTACTTTTCACACACATGTGCCAATCTCCTCGCTCCACCCAAATTTTTCCTCAACTTTAGGAGTTATGATAGAAAGAACCACACCCCTTGGATGAAATCTGCTCTGTAAATGTGTTCTTTATATGTTTTAGGAGGATTATGGAGAAGGAATAAGTAAAATAATGATATGTGATGTTGTTGCCCGACGAAAAGTTGGGAAAGTTCGGTTGTCGTGAGGTTGATTCTAAGGTGCCGGCACCATACCGTAAGCATCGTGCGGTGCTCCTCCGTGTGGCGAGTGTTCTGGTGGAGGGTGTGAGATGCGAAGCATGTCCGGATCGATTGGGTTAGAAGGGGGGTAAGATGGGGGGGTCGGGTTTCACCTAGACGGGCAGTTTCGTACTCTGCCGTGCATGGCCCATTTGGTTTCTTGTGCAAAGATGCACGGCGGATTTTATCCTCACGGGTAGACTACTGTACCGTAGTGGGTGGGCGGGCTCTGGATGGAGGCAGGTGATAAGTTAGGTGTCGTATACTGTAACTAGGCAACAGCAATGTTTTTGGGGTGGGTCGTTGGTTTTGTGCGCGAGCACTCAGGTCGGAGTGCGTGTGGGGGGGGGGGGGTAACTTGCATGGCGGTGTTCGGGTGAACCGTATGATACAAGTAAAAACCCGCTGTATCCATTATCGGGGATCGGGCCCCTTTGCCTTCGCAATCCGAGACAAACACCCTGTGAAGGAATAGTATTTTCCAGACAAGGTACAAGTACTCGAGTATAGCTCGAAGATGCAGGGCTTGCGGGATCTCATTAACCGATATCTGTTATTCTGTTAACCTGCCGTGCTAAGTCTATTGTGATTTAGTGGTGTGGTACAGTTGAGATCCCCGATAGTGGATACAGCGAGTTTTTACGGTACTGTACTCGAGTACTGTAGAAGTGCGGGTAAGCGAGTGGTGAGCGCGAAGTGCGAAGCTCCTCGCCGAATCGAGGGAGAGAGGCGCCACCGATTGCTCGTAGCTGGGCTTTGGTTAATCTATAATTGGAATGGTTTGCCTCAGAACCTTTGAATGTGAAGTGTTGCCAACACTGAAGTTGCACAGTGTGACACGGTGTGGAGTTTGGCTCATATTACAAGGGTTCGATACCCGGGTCTGGTTTATTTCGTGTGCGCAGGGCTTAGCGATCACATCATCTCTCTCGCTGCTGTGTGCTCGAGTATTGATATGATACCGGTATCACATATTCTAGTACAGTATGCGCGGAAACCCCGGCCACTTGAAGAATTCGGGAAGCGACACCTGCTGCCGGTTCCCATGCTCTGTCGAAAATCAGCCTCAAAACCTTAACCCCCCCTACCGTACTTCTACTGTAGCTGCTCCCAAGAACCTACCGGTAATTTACCATCGCTGCCTGACGCTTTCCTCTCCCCTCCCGTAACATCAGTCCTGTACAAGTACCGTCCTTCGTTCTTCAGGGCTCATCTATGATTGTGAAAACCGCGGATCAGCAGATGGGGGAAAATCGGTACCTATATCTGCGCTCTGATCTCGCGATGGGACTAACCTTGCTAGTGGGGTTTCGTCGAGGCTGCTACGTCGACGTTCGAACATTTCGTCCGCGGATAGACGCTGCAACATAGGGTCCTTCGAAGAAACTGGTTCTCGGTATAGGCTGGTTGGCGATAACGGGAAGCGAGGATGGTCGTATATCCCTGCACGGACACTTGATCCCGAATCATCGGTTTCCGAGTCCGGAGAGGCGGATAAATATTCGTGCTTTGGTGACTCGGATGATGAGGAGAGGAACAGGCTAGCGGAACCTTGGCCTAAGCCGCAGAAAAAGAGGGTGGAGCAGAAGGAAAGGAGACATAATGACGGAGGTCATGGGTTGCGGCGGATGGAGAGTATCGGAATGTCCTCTGGCCGGAACGAGCTACGCACACCTCGTGTGCTAAGGACGTTACAGAGCATGAATGATCTGCGACCCGGAATGGTACAGGACAACATCGCTTCTACCTTTGAGCTGCGGAGATTACAAAAGTCGCAAACATTTCCATGTTTTGAGCATCCAAAGTCAAGGGTGATCGCAAGGGCGCCTAGTCCCGTGCGTGAGGAGGATGAAGTAGTGTCGGAGAAATCTGACCGTCGGGAAGAATCCAAGTTTGATTCGTGTAAGTTGCAATCTTACTTTCACAATGGTTTTATAGAGCATGTTGTATGGCGCTCCAAATCTCGGTACGAGGTCACGAAATGGTGTCGAAGCAGGCTTCTTGGATGCGGGGCTTTCGGAACTGTTTGGCTGGAAGAAGAGAGCCGGCAAGGGACATTACGGGCGCTGAAGGGGATGCGAAAGGATGTTATTGGGCAAGACTATACTCGGGAGATACTTGCCTTGGTAAAATTGAAGAAAGTACGGTAATATATAATTGTTTCGGAGAGCTGAGCGAGACTGGGCTAACAAGAATTAGTATGACGAATACTTTGTCCAATTCTTTGGATGGTTCGAGGATCCCCAGTGTATATACCTTGCGATGGAGTATATCCCACTGGGCGACTTGGACCAGTGCTTTCGAAAAAGGACATTCACAGAAGCTCAAGCGAAGCGCTTGACTCGGCAGTTACTCAAAGGACTGGCAATCATGCACGAAAATGGCTTTACCCACCGAGACCTAAAGCCACAGGTTAGCACCATACCTCCAAATGGGGTTCATGACTGACGTCATTAGAACATTTTGCTAGTATCTTACTCTCCCTTGTGGGTGAAGATTGGAGATTTTGGCGTGACGAAACGCATCATTCACGACGAAACCGCACTCAGGACCAGCGTGTGGACCATGCATTATGGGGCTCCGGAAACACTCGGTCTAGCTGACACAGAGACTTCGGAATACACCAACGCAGTCGACCTCTGGTCCCTGGGCTGTGTTGTGTATAAATCCTTGACCAATACCACACCGTTCGCGGATATGAGAACCTTTTCGTCATTTTGCCTTAATCTCATTGCGTTCCCTTCTACCAATCTTTATGAGAGTGGCGTTAGTTATTCGGGAATTGATTTTATCTTGAAACTTATGGCATTGGATCCGACGTTGAGACCAACTGCGAAGGAAGCGTTGGGCTTGGAGTGGTCGAAACCCGAAAAGACTCACCTGGAGACTGGTAGTGGAGCTCGAGGGGGACTTCCGGGGAAGAGCCCCATGATGCCGCCCACAATATTACCTCAACCGCCGCAATGGGTGCCCTGTAAGTGACCCGTCCCCAGTGGACGACGTTTCCTCTAGTTAACAATGTATAGCGTCAGTTACTAGGTGTGGCTGCACGAACTGCTTGCAGGCCTCGGATTACTCTTGACATGTTGCTTCGCTTTGGGACTCAGGCTCGCCGGCGGAGGGTGGGTTTTTTGGACCTTGGCCATGATCTGGCATTTCCTGGCTGTTTTGGGTTCGTGCTGGGACACTGCTGTTTTTTTTTCTTTTTTTTTTCCTTTCCCGGAGCTTGGTTGATGACTTACGTGAGTGCTTTTTTCCTTTTTATTCCTTTGCCGGAGCTTGGTCGATGACCTAAGTGAGTGGTGTATTTTTTTTTGCCGAAACTTGGGCGGCAGGCCTGAGCAGGGTGTGTATTTAGCAATTTTTTTTTTATCGCACTGCCTCGCATGTATATTGGGGGGTTTTCTTGGGGGGGGGGGGGGGGTACGGTACGATAGGGTCGGCGACGGCGTATTTTAAGATTGGTTCCGGTGTATCTGGGTCGGGCGGGGGATGGGTGTTGGTATGATATAAAAATTGATTTCTTTCTTTTCTTTCTCGATCGGAATGAAGGGAGATAGATCCCCGGACCATATACTCGAGTACCATGGGCTAGGAAGTATGGGACTTACGACGTCCACGCTTAGCGAACTGACCCGTCTGATTGCCGTCATGCTTGCTTGCTACACACTTCCCTTCATGGCATGGTGCCATCCACTCAAAATGTACTGTACTAGTACTGTACGCCTTGCTCCATGCAACACGTAACGCTCAAACCTGCATACACCAAGCACTACACCCTACCTATCATACCTCCAGAATCTTTGGAGAAATTTAGCCTTCCTTCGCAACAATGTCACATGATTGATATCATGTTATGATAACTTCTATTTACACCAATCTTATAAGAATATTCCAAACAACACTTATTTATCCTATCTCTACATCTGTAGCCCTGGCACCATACGATTGCCGCGTGCTCCCCGGGAACTGTACTGTAAAGTACCTCCCCAAAAGTGTTGGTGAAATGGGCTTTTTACACCAAAAACATTGACTTTTCGCCACTGGTAGTTTAGGAACCACAAAAGATTTTACAACCTGACTTCTGGTATGTAGTTACAATAATCCCACCCTACTTCCACTCGACTCTTAATAACTTTGGGGAAGAATTGGAGAAGTTATGCAGTCCTAAAGTTTTGACTTCACTGAAAAGCTTCATTTTACATACAAAAATGGCATAGCAACGGGTATTGTCAGCTTTGGAGACTTGTAGTTTAGCCCCATAGAATAAATTGACAAAATAAATGGTGTCAGGTAAAAGCTGCAGTGAAGGTGAAAATAATTATATGGGTTGCAAGGATTATTTGAAGCAATTCCAGGTGTGGGAGTTGATCAAACCTGCCAATTTTTGGTGTAAAAAGGTCATTTCACCAACACTTTTGGGGACGTACTTTACTGTACTAGTATCATACTCTCTAAAACCAAAAGTCACTCCCTGACCTTTAATTTCCCCCAAGCGCAAACGACCGAACCACATCCTACTTTTATTTTTATTTTTTACTCGAGGCTTACCTCTCGTAACCTCTCAACATCACCGGCCACCCTATTTTCTAGGGATATTTGGGTTATGGGTAGTAGCCATCAACGCAATTCTCCTGGTCGCGGGGGCTGTTAGAGGAGCGGTTGCTGTGTCGTCGCCGGAGGCTATATCTTGAGGACGGATTGTTAACTTTGGCTAGTATGGTATAGGACCGCCTAGTTTTCGAGATTCCCGTGTTGGCGGATGTTTGGCGGTTGCAACTCCAGGGAGAAATTCTGCAGCGATAGGAAAGTGGCGAGGGGGTACTGTCTACGGTTCGGTTGGGTGACTTTTAGGAAGAGTAGTGGTCTGACTAGGTCCTCCCCTAGTTAGAGATTCGGCCGAGATGGGGGCTCTTTTTTTGGGCCTCCCTGAGCACAAGGGTGTATGGTCCTGGAAAATCGGGAGAAAAGACCGTACAAGGCCAGAATGGACCCCCGGGGATTAGCATAGTCATCAAAGTGCTTCACCGCGTCTCCGATACTAGGGCTCAAGCCATAGTTGTTGAAACGACTGATTTATTGTTGCGAAGGAGAGGTGGGATATTCCCGACTATTATACAGAAAAGAACCAGCCACTGTTTGATCAAGCTCACGCGGCTTCACTTGCCGCCTCACCCGCCACATTATCGGTTGACAAGCTGTCCTGCAATTATTATCCCCAATATGGAAGGATGCTCCAACAATAGTGTTCAAACTTTTACGAGTGAGATACTATGACCCCTTCCCGACATCCGAACTATACTGGCTTATCGGAGGAAGGGATCGCAAGCCTCCTAGAACTAAGAAGCAGCTATACCAAGAGGGCTGGGATGGTCCCAGAGTTCTATTACGAACTCATCGCCGTCGCTCTACCCTCAGCGGGGGATAAGCCTGTAGAAGGACAGGATATCATTATTCTCCATAATATGGGTAAAAAAAAACACACAAACTGCCCGAAGGGTGAGTCGAACACCCGATCTTCGCATTACGAGTGCGACGCCTTACCACTTGGCCATCCGGGCTTTCCCATTTTTCTGCTTTGTGGGGATTTATTGAGGGTTTTCCACCGCCATGAATGTTTGGTTGGTTTATGTATATACTTTTCACGCGCTTGTGGGGTTAGGTGGGATGGGATTGGCTGGGTTCTGTGGGGAATGCAACTCCAGATTGGGTGGTCTAGGTGGTCCGGTGATCGACATCGGCTTCTATCTTTGTCTTCCAGGGGATGGTTCTCGTTCTCGTTTTTCGGGGGTGTGAAGCGGGTTGCCTGGTGGTGGGTTGGTGGGTGGAGTGCGGGGTTATTGTCGGTTGATTGTTGGCTGGGGATATGTCTCTGGGCTCATGCATTGTTATTTGAGAAATGCTAGTCCTTGGTTTTGGCTTCGAGTGAGTGCACATGACTCCCTGTTCTGCTGCGTGGAAAATTTTATGAGCGTTAAATTTTGTTGCTTGCTGGGTGGTGGTGTGCGGGGGATTGGAAATTGTTAAGGTCTAGATTCTCTCTTTTTTTTGTTAAGCAGTGGGTCAGAATTGTCTGGATGGGCTCAATTAACTGCCGGTATAGGACGGGGGTTTCGGGGGGCAAGGTAACTGGATGGAATGTCGCTCGTGATTAAGGATTAGGGAGGGTTGGGTCGCTTAGGACGGGAGGGGAGATAGAATATTGTTGTTAAGCACCAACTAATAGTCTATAAAACGGTTATAAACAGCTGATGAAGACACCTCGGGAGATGATATGAGAGGAGTGGAATCAAACTGACTAGGCTCGAAGCCGTACTGGGGGGTTGAGCCGGAAGGGTTCCTTATACAAACAGTCCGGCCAGAAACGGGAGTGTCTGAGTATCTATTTTAACAGATATTAAAGGGGGGTTTGCCGAGTTTGGGGAGGCTTGGTCTGCATGACAAAAGGCGGGATCCTAATCAAGGATACCAGTAAATCACAAAGGAATTCTGTAGTAGAAAGCCTGGAATGATGACGGATTGTTATGGAGCTTGTGACTTGCGGATGGGTTATCTAGACATGTCTCCCATTGTTACCCTAGGATTGTATGGTGGAACGGAGGTGAGTGTGGTGATCAATGGAAGGATCGGGATGTTTGGATTATGTTTTACATAATATAGCCCTGCCTTTGCCGTTAGTTTAGTTGGGGGGGGGATGGGAGAAGAGAGACGGGGGATTTCTGGCCATACCTTTCCCACATAACGTGGGAGCCTAGAGATATTCCTTACAGGGTATCGCTGCGCTTTGTGTTAGCCACTCTACGGTGATCTTTCTTTAATTTTCTGGGCCGGGGACTACGCCAGCTCGGGGAGCCTACAGCTCGTAGGTGGGAATAAATCACTGTTTTTTCCCTGCGTGGGAGCCTGGGCTTTTGCTAGCTCTTTAGATACTCTTGTTTGTCCTGGTTGGTTGGGGCTTGTCCAGTTTTCTCCACCACACGGGCTAGTTTATTACTTCCCCCGACGAGAGGGTTTTGGGGAATGCTGAATGTTTACTGCCCTTCTAGTATTGGATGTACCATGTAGGATCTGGTGGGAGTCGCGGGCTCAATATAACTCTGAGGGGGATCTTCTGTACTCCGGGAGCTGTCGATGCTAATAGCAAATAGAGATTGTGCTCCATTCTAGCTTGGAGAGTACTCTGAGGTAGCTGCTGTCACTGATAGTGTCAGAGTGCTGTATTTCCGTTGGTTGGACATGGGCTGGTTGGTAAAGTACCTCCGCAAAAGTGTTGGTGAAATGGGCTTTTTACACCAAAAACATTGATTTTTCACCACTGGTAGTTCAGGAACCACAAAAGATTTTACAACCTGACTTCTGGTATGTAGTTACAATAATCCCACCCTACTCCTACCCAACTATTAATAACTTTGGGGAAGAATTGGAGAAGTTATGCAGTCCTAAAGTTTTGACTTCACTGAAAAGCTTCATTTTACATACAAAAATGGCATAGCAACGGGTATTGTCAACTTTGGAGACTAGTAGCTTAGCCCCATAGAATAAATTGACAAAATAAATGGTGTCAGGTAAAAGCTGCAGTGAAGGTGAAAATAATTATATAGGTTGTGAGGATTATTTGAAGCAATTCCAGGTGTGGGGGTTGATCAAACCTGCCAATTTTTGGTGTAAAAAGGTCATTTCACCAACACTTTTGCGGAGGTACTTTATTGTGGGTACAAAGTCGATGGCCGAGGTGATACTAGTGGAGAATATAAGCTACTCTGACGGGCTGGGGTACCCTCGAGGAAGTCTGTTTTTCCCTTGTTTGCTGAGATATCTATAGTTGATAGCCTGGCTTTGTTAGCTCTTGGCCTGCCTAAATTCAGACTACCGGGGAACTGCTGGGAAATGCAAAATAATGATAATACTACTAGTATGGTGTTCTCTCTGCTCCTGCCGAATTGGCTCATGTGTATTAAAACGCTGCGGAATTAAGCATGATCACTGTATGGCTACGCAGGAGATATGGGAGGTATCCTTAGCAAAAGATCCGGACGGCAATTTGCTCCAAAATCTCTTGTACCTATCTCTGCATGTAGTAGCTTTCTCTTATGAGGGGCATCATAGAAGGTTCACTTCGAGGGACGAACATAATTTGGAATACCTGCTATTAATGGCGTACGGTAAATGGGCAAATCTGGGAATCAAACGGAGATACCAATAGATGGTAGAAAACAGGACTGACATCCTCATTAGGCCATGCGCTGGCATTTTTCGGAGGAGCGACCGGACTTACATGTCCCTCGTCCAGAATTATATCATCTCCCTCAACCCAGTTCTGGTACTTAATTTATTTATCGTCGCTAGCCATCTCCTTCTCTAACTGGCTCCAATCAACACCGTTGGCGAGATCTCTCGGGGGGTTTGTGTAGCCCTCGCGAGGGTTCATGGAGGGGAAACTTCCTGTCTGAAGGACAGAGTTAACGGAAAGGAAATGGCTGTAAGATGGGAGGTACTTCTCCCGCATCCTGCCAGAGCACAATTAACAATGCCTCATGTATGGGGAATAGAGTAAAGTACTCGTGGACCGCCTTTTGGTGGGTAGCATCTTCTTGGATCTTGTCGTTTTCATTAACGTGGGAGACAGCACCCTCGGTGGTATTAGTGGAAATCTGGGTGGGGATTTCGGCGGGTTTTTTCTCCGGTGTTTGGTTGGGGATTCCTGGCTGGACGATAAGCTGCCCGGTAAAAGAAAATCCCAAAGGATTAGTGGAAACTGGGTATGGTCGGTGGGGCTCCCCGTTGGAATTTGTAGGGTGAATCACCCCTGCTTCAAATTCCATTGGGTCAGAGCTGGGGACGTGTATGTTTGCAGTGGATGGAGCTGGCGATGTTATATCGTGTGTCATCGAGAGCTTTTGGTGGTTTGTGTGGTGATTTCCCTTTGTAGGATAGGAAGAAAAGGTGCTGAGGGGGGGTTGAACTTGTGTATGATCCTGGTTTGGCTGTGGTCGTCATACGAAGGTTTGTGGTATTCTATTTGGGTTTGGGGTTTCGTTACTACTGGATTGGCCCACGTTAATATCGGAGGAGTAGCAGCACCCGGGAAGAGAACCAGCCTCAGAGGAGGCTAAAAATTATCTGCTTATTAGGTGATGGCGGGGTGGAGATTGGTAGAATGGCGAAGAAAAAAGGATTCGTGGGATATGGTTGGTAAAAACGCAGGAGAATGAGTCCCGGCTGTATGGAAGTGGGGAGATTCATATGTAATGCCAAACCTGACGCACCCACTGTCCTCTGGAGATATCGTGGGTGCCTTGCACCTTGGCCATGACTAAAACCCCCCGAAAGATAAGGGTCACTTCTTACAATACAGAAAGCTGGCAGGATAATCTTGAAAGGTCTCACAACACCTCCTTAAGTAATTGCTCATACTACTTGTACTGTGGCCCCTCTCTCGATCCGTGCTTTCTCCCTTTAAGATTTCTTTCATTGCTTTCTCAGGCCAAATGGATTCAGGGAGAGAGACCAGCTAAGAGCCCTAGGAGGTGGGCTGCCTGAAGAAATAATTTTAATGGCTTAACCCGCCTCGGATTGGGTTGATTCCTCGGCGGATTGGGTGTGAAAATAGACAACTACACACTGGGCTTATCGAATCGGGTTACTGTTCTATAGAGGGTTTTTTTCAGCCCAGGAAATATATATGGCATTATGTTTCGTGCTTACTGGAATCGAGTCGTCAACTGTAATCGAGTCGGTAAATGAACGATATGTGTGGATACAGAGAACGCTTCCCCCGCTTGGTTGCGGGAACGCTAAATTAGTTTGAGTTTGTTTGAGGAATTGGGTAGAGCTTTGTTTGGAACTATCATCAACTGCGGGAACACAATTCTGCAACAATAGTGAGGTATAGTTTGACAGACACCGACACAGGTATATCGGGGGATGGGGTAGAGGGAGCTGGGTAACACTGGCGGATAATCACCAAGGCTTTCTACGAGGCTACTAGAAACTAACTAAGACTGGGATTAGTATCCTGACCGCTCCTTGTGAGACCGAACTTTGTTTTCCGATTGTTGACTCTCTCCTTGGTGTGGGTCAGTCGATGTCCATTGTAACTTCAATATCGGCCTTTCCCTCGCCACCTGTGCCTGCTGCCTCCCCCTTGCTCCCGGCCCCAGCGGCCGGCTCTACCATTTTGAAGTTGGAGTCACTCATAGAGGTGTGCCATATTGAGGGGTCCATCTGAGAGGGCATTGTGTACCTGATTGGGGCGGTATAGGACTCCTCCCAGTGTGGAGGCCCTGTATTGTGCTTTTTCCTGACACCAGGACGATATAAGCAATTATAACAGTAACTACCTCGGCCGGGATACCGGGTAAAAGGTGGAAGGAAGAAAAAACTCACTTCACGGGTTGCTCTGTATCCGTCTGGCCAACCTTACCTAGTTTAGGTTCTGGATTGGTGCGGTAGAAGTACCCCGGGGCGTGGGCAGGGGCGGGAGCCGGGACGGTGGTAGAATTCGAAAAAGCCCCCTCAAGGGAGCTTCTAGTGCCAGATGCTTGAGAGCCAGAAAGGGAACCAAAGAAATTATTATTTTCGGGGGTTTCAGAGTTATCTGTGGAGGGGAAACCCCTGTCAATGTCTTTGGTGTGGGAATGTATCTTTTTGGCGAGCGCATTCCACCCCGCATTCCTGGTAGCAGGGATATCAAGCGGAGTACGCCCCCCAGGGTTTTCGATTTTCTGCCTTTTGCGAGGCGGCATCTGGTGTTTCTTCGTGTTCTGGGTTGTGATGGATCAGGATCGTGGTGTGCTACAGGAGATGGAGGGAATTAAAGAAGGTGTGTGAGGGTGAGTGTGCCTCGCCGCCCGCATCAGGACTTCATATGACTTACCGCTTAGTTAGGGATAGACTTTTACCGATGGTCGGGGCTCTTTTGGAATCGTGGTATAGGGTGGACTTTAGAATTGTGATTTTTTTAGTAATGCCAAGTGCGAAATTGAGTGCCCGGTGGGCTGAGTGGGGGAACACTTCTTCCGCGGGAGGCGAGAAGTCTGATGCAGATGAAGCACGGGGATGATGGTTCTATCTGCCATGGCGCTGATAAGCAGCTGTGGATTTTGGCTCAAATCGAGTTTACGGGTGTTCAAGAGAAGCTCGGCCGAGTCGAGAATGGACCTTTATCTTCATAACGAACTGGGAAATAGAGAGGATATATGTTCGAGTGATATCTGTGAGTCTGGGATACAACATGATCTACAATATTAGCTATTGATGCTAATATATGTGGGTTTTTTCCACATAACGCGTCTTCATCATACTCCCCGTTTGCTATGGTATACTGTTGGCATAGCAAATTATTTATTGTCCCGCTGCTGCTACTCCCGCACTTGCTCTGGCCGGAAATGTTGACCTTGGATTGTTGTAAAAATTGAATTGAATTTGCTTAAGCCCCCCCATAGCCATGCAAACACTAGCATTGCATTCTCTACAGCAAAAACACCACAAACGCGTAAAAACATGGGATAGGGTAACTAATATCCGGGACTTAATGCGGCGGTTGAAAAAAAAAAAAACATGACTGGGGTTGGGGGGATAGGATGGCCTATGCAATTAGTGAGAGATGGGCATTGATCTGAGCCAACCTTATTCCTGGACAGCCTCGCTTTTAGATGGCTCTGGGTTCGTATCTGTCGAGTCCTCCCCAGCCAGACTGGTCCTCGGTCTCTGCTTCAGTGACCTCACGAGACTTGCTCTTGACCTCAGCCTCAGCGTCCTGGGTCTCCCCGCGGTCGTCCTCGTCATCCTTAATATTCTTAGTCCCGATCTCCTCGCCCTGGGTGGTACCAGCGCTACTCACCCCGGAATTATCTGAGCCATACGGCTCCCATCCTTCCATCTCGTCTTCCTCATTTGAAGGAGTAGAAGTAAGAGGGTAGGTGATGGAGTGATTGGGGTTGTTCTCATCTCTACTTCTATTAGGCTATTGAAACTGTACGGAGAGAAATGCACTACAAAAGGAAGTAGGAGGAAGGACTCACAGTTCGCCCTCAACCAGATGGGCGTTGTTGGTCTCAGATGTGCGAAAGGTTAATCCCAGGAGGTCGGTGTCTCTAGGGGCATTGGCTGGGGTGGGGATAGCGGGAGAATCCTGAGGCATCTCGTGAAAGTAATTCCAAATAGACCCCGCTTGGCCACCCGGCCGGAAGGCGAATGGCTCGTAGCCGGCAGGCATGAAGAGGTGGCCTCTGGGACCGTGACGGTGCCAGAGCAACTCGAAATCGTGTTTATTCTCTACGGTCGCTGCGCTATGAGCGACCATCCTGTTTCGTTTCTTGGTGAGTTGAGTTGAGATGAGTTTGTATAGTATGGTGCAAGATGAAGGTGAAGAAGAGGGGGAAGGTGAAGAAGAGGAGGAAGGTGAAGAAGAGGGGAAGATGAGGGAGGGGGGGGGGGAGATGAGGGAGAGGGGGGAGATAAGGAAGAGGGGGGAGATAAGGAAGAAGTGGAGATAAGGGTGAGTAAATTGTCGCCGAGGGGGTTCCCTTAACTCGCTGTCGGGTTACCGACGGAATCATAGCGATAGCCGGGGCTCTTGGCCGACCGACGGCTCGGAATTGGGTCTCGTGATGCTCTCACTGGTTTGCAATGGAAAGCCTGCGCGGGTGGGGATAGGCCTCGGTCTTCGCAAGAAAGCAGAAAAAAATAGTTTATGGTTTTGGTATGGGCGATGCTTGTGAATTAAGAATAGGATATGCACGTTTAGGATACTCCGTTTGAGAGTTGTTTTGATAATCCAGTTATAGGAAGGGCCATTGAACTAAAGGAAAATCTGGCATAGGGTGATTGTTACGGGGGGTAGCTTGTTGAGCGACAGGATATGTAATGGCAGTGGAATACTGACTGTGGCGGGAAATGAAGACGAGACCTTTGGCGGAGGGAGGAGTTGAGAGTGGAGCTGTATTGGCCTGTGTTGGCTCTTCTAAGGAGGGAATGCTTACATAATTATATAGCAATCCTTTGGTAGCCCTAGCTCCGCAGTCCGCACTCCATCCAATCACTTTAAACACATAGTCTACCTTAACCATATATCATAGCCCCAGGACAGGCAATTCATAAAATATCATTTGAAAAGCCCCAATACCTGGCTAGCGATGTGGTATTCGGCGTGAGAAAAAAAAAATGCAAGCAAAGGAAATACTCGTGCCCAGGTTGTGACGCTTAGTCACAACCTTGGCACGAGTAATGATATCATATCTGAAGAGAAGCTATTGTCCATAAAAATAAACATATCCGGTGGCAATGCACACAAGGGCATAAGAAAAACCTAAAGCAAAACCCTAAAAATCCATCAGTGGTTGTATGATACCATAGCGAGTATGATACAAGGCATTGTTTTTTCCCGCTCCTGTGAGGACAGAGGTCTATTCTAACACCCACCCACCTTCTAGAACAAATTTGGAGAGCACCATGAACCGTAATTCCGAGCTATTAATTAGCCCCTTGTGGGAAGTATCACCAACTCAGGTACTAAGTTGGGCTAGCCCCCATGCACGCTCTTAAATGGAAGTTGTCCAGCAGTCCCCGCCGGGCGCGCAATTCTCCATCCGATATCACCACAACTATTACATTTCCCAAACCTACCCCGAAACCTGATTGCAGGAGAACCTCGACCATTAGTAAGATACTGTCACTAACTTGACAGTATATTATAGGAACCTCCCCGGCCATGATATGCAGCTCCTCATCTTCACCTTCCTTCTCACCTTCACCCTCTCCCTTACCCTCCCCCTCTTTCCAGCCATCCCCTCTTCCTCCCCTTCACCCTACACGGTACGATACACCCACCACCTCTCAGTGCACAAGGAAGCAAACAGGATGTCTATCCGTAACTCAGAGACAGCAAGGCATAGGTGGGAGATCGAAAGGATCTGGCGCCGTCTCCGTGCTAGAGATCACTCCTCCAGCCCGGCCAATTATGACACATTCACGTTCCGGCCAGGCGGCCAAGCGGCTGTTGTCAGAAACCCCTTCGAGAAGCTATCTTCGGATTCTTTTACAGCTCCCATCCCCACCATTGCTCCTAGGGGGTTCGACAACTCGAAATTAAACCCGAGCACGGTTTATATAGACCAGGTATATTCGAGCCAAGCAGGACAGTGAGCTCTTCCCCCTCTTGCCGACGTTTTTCTCAAGATAGAACATGAGCTGATGGAAATAGGGAAAAATTCTACCCTCGACATGCGCACGACCATTTTCCCATTTCGATCCCGGCCAATAGTAGGATAACCACTGATTCAAGAGAGAAGAGCTTGAGCCCTCAAAAGCCACTTCAGACCGGCACGAAAAATTCCGGGCCAGGAGAGGCACTTGGAGGGGGCTCCCGTGGCCAGTATGAGAAGGGGGAAAAAAAAAGAAAACTGAGTGGGTGTGGGAACTATGGAAGTGGGAGAAACCTGTGGATCGGAGCATAGCGAACCCACGAATGCAGGGGAGGAAGAACCAGAGACCGCCGAGCGCGGGCGGAGCGGAACTAAGACCATCGATAGCGGTAAGGTTAACAGCGAAATCGAAGATACTGAGGCTGATCCAGAGAATTGGTCTGGCGACGACAAGCCTACCGGCACCACGGACGACAGCTATGGGCAAAACCTCGATGACCCGGTAGAAACGGACTTACCACGCGGGCTAAAGGTGGCTCTCAATGAAGTCCACTAAATTCATTCTAGCTCTCTTCCTATTGGTATCATATCCTATACCAGCTCGGATCACTTCCCCTTTCTTTTTCCTTTCATACCTTGATTAAGCCATTAACCTTTGTTATCCACTCCCTTGTGTCCCTACTTTTATTTTACTTTGGTTATACACGACTCTAGTACCTGAATGACCCTAGTATCTGCTGTATTATAGAGTGTTCGTACATGTTCATCAACCCAACCACTTAGACCAACTCAACATCTTCTCCCTCGTACTAATAGCGCATGGAGAACAAGTGGTAACAGGGGGTTAAAACAATTACTGTGCCCATAGTATACCATAGCAGAAATCGTATATAGTCCGACACAACGGCTCCTACGGGTAGAGAGAGCCCATATATGTTAGCATCAGAGCCAGCAAGAGAGATTAGATCATATTAGGGGTCTTCAAAATAGTACTTGCACACCCAAGTTCACGATATGGTCCTTTTAAGTACTCTAAAGGAGGAAGGCCTGTTCTGCTCTGCGTCCGGTTGTTTGACATGAGGTCCTTCCTCCGCGCAGATAATACTAACATTGCCAGTGTAAGGTTAAAAAAAATATAGAACGAAATTCCCGCCACAGTGACCTGCTATAATAACAATCCCGTGCAAAATGTTAATATCGCTCAATAGTCCCCTCCGTACACTAATTGTCACAAGAACTCTCAAATAGAGCATCCTAGAGGAGCCTGTTGTAACCTAACGTCATTTACGGTGAAACCGCTTTTGACCTAGATCCCGCTCGGTCCTAATGGCGCAATCTGGATCATGGTCCTCCAGGGTCATAGCACCTCCCCCGTGAAGAAAACTATTAAATTGAATGCTTGAACTCCCTCCCCGAGCTCCAAACCATTAACCAGTATAAACAAAAGAAATTGAACCAAAAAGAAACCAAAACCAGTGATGCAAAGGTCAAAGTTAATAATTCCGTAGTAGAGTAATCACTTCAACTACCCTCCCCCCACTACAGCCCGTATCGGTACCCTGATCAAGCTCTAATGCTTCCATTTCCTCCCAGAGATCCTCCACATCACTAGTCGATGTGGTCTGACCAACAATTGTTGGAGATATCTCTGACTGGGTGGTGTCTGAGAGGTGTGATTTGCCGCCGCGTTTGGTATTTGATGAGCCGAGCTGTAATTGAGTGCTCTTTTTTGCCTGCCTAGCCGCCTTTTGGGCATCAACCCGCTCCCGCTCCTCACGCAACATCAGAATTGTTTCTGAAGTAACCATGGTAGCCTCTGTCAACTTGCGGCGGTCAGAAGTCTTTCCCTTTTTTTCTTTTCCCACCAAGGCTCTGTACTGTTTATGGGCCTCCTCCTCCAATACCTTATCAGCAATTGTTTGCTGAAACCCTGCTGCGAGGCCGGAAAGGATTAATTTAAGCTGTTTGGAGGAGGAGCTATCGCGAGTTACTAAGGAGTAGGTAGTTCGCGTTGCACGACTAACGGCACGTGGGGTTTTTGGAATACTGGAGTGGTGGTTACCGGCAACTGCTGGAGGATGGAGCTTTCGGCTGGGCGGCTCCTTTCGCTTCACTGCCCCAAGGACCCGACAGGGATTGAAAGGAATTATTCCTACTGCTTCCCAAGCACTCTGAATATTGCTTGAGGTGAAAGCTAATTGTCTAGCCGGCATCAAGATTCTATAAAATAAGTAATTAGTTTCTGAAGAAGTAGAAGTTGGAAGTATTAAATATATTGGAAATACTAACAGTAAAAATTCTCCCTTATTCATACCTGCATGGCCCTTCCACACAAATTCATCCAGACCATTCCCATAATGTCTCTGCAAGGGACTGAAGAGTCCCACATCCAATGGCTGCAGCAGGTGGGTGGAGTGAGCTGGAAGGCAGAACGGAATAATCTTCACATTGAGGCAATAATCAAAAAATCGCCAATTAAAATGTGATGTATGCCCATCTAATATCAGCATACGGTATCTATTTCCAGCACTATATAGTTTATACAGGTTTGATTAGTTAGTTCAATATGATCTTGTAATTTTCTTAGTGGTAAATAGTTACCTCTCCCGTGTTTCAGGGTTAAAAACCTCCTCTAACCACCTCATTCCTAACTCCTCATTACTCCAGCCCTTTTCCGAAACCCCAAATACTGCTAGATCCTTTTTTTTTAGCTTTGAATACCAGCCCATATAATGGGCTTGGCCTTTATTGATGATCATAGGGCGAAGAGCTGAGCCATCACCGGAGACACACTCAATAACCGTTACCCACTCCCGTGACCCATCCTGTACCAAATTTGTTGTCCTTCTCCCCTTTCTACAAATGACCTTACACCGTAATGCTACCCCCATCATGAACCCTTTCTCGTCCATATTGTAGATATTGGATGGTAAAATATCATAAAACTTCATTAAATGTTGTAACTAGATTCTCGATTAATATCCTATTACTAGCAGGATGGAAGATAGTCTGACCTTATTAAAGTAATCTTTTATGACTCGCGGATCACTGGCAAGAGCCCTTTGACGATCTATGCGCGTACTTAACTTGGCCGCAAGCTGGGGGTGGCGGCTGAGAAACCTTAACATCCAATGCTTTCCCAATACATGATGATTTAGTCTTCGCGATACAATGGCCTGTGCCATCTCCTTCACTAGTGACATCTTTGCCGGATGTCCCCACTCATCCAAACGCTCGCACCATCGAACCACCAAATTCTCCTCATAAGGTGTTAGAACCTGCAATCTCTGATGCCCACCCACCCGAGATTCTGCCCCCTTCAGCCTACCCCTCAACGTTGAATATGCGATACCATACTTCTCAGCCGTACCCTTGATTGACACTTCTGGGCTCTCATTGTAGAACTTGACAGCCTCTTGAAGCAAAGCTTCTTTTTCGTCCTTCCGCAGCTTGTTGATTGGCGCCATCAGTGTGAATTTCTTGAGGATCCCGTAATATATGCGACCGGGGCAGTTGTTTTTGTTGTGTGCGGGGTAAGTGTTTTACCTCATCTTGGCGCCGAGCCGGATCTAGGTACCGAGCGGTTTCCCCGTCAACGACGTTAGATTCACAAGTATCACTCGACCATATTATCTGTTGACAAAATTAACTGAACAGCAACAAACACTAATAACTTTACCATAATGACAACCACACTAATAAATCCAACCACCTCAGCATCAGGTAGAAAAAATAGTCAAAAACTAAATAAATACAAAGCAGTAATCAGTACTTAGTATATCATCCATCAGCCTTAATAATCTCCTATATCCTCTCTAGAGAGAAGTGGTTGTGCGGGGTTGTCCGGGAGCGATGGTTGTCACACATACTGGGATGTTTGGTCAACTCCGTCAATGCACAATACCAACCCCATAAACCCTTTTTTATCACCTGCTTCTGTGTAAAGACAGAGGTCTATTCTGACCCCACCGACTTTCTAGTGTGAACTCGTGAGAACTCCATGAGATCTAAATCTGAGATGATGATTGACCCCCTTAGGGATATTATTACCAGCTCAGATATCCAGTTAGGCATGCGCCTTGGGCATTCCGGGGCGAGATTTGCACAACTGCCCTCGCTGAGCATACAATTCCGTATGCGATATATCGCCAAAACCATTTCAACTAAACCTGCCCTGAAACACAACTCCAAAAGAGCCTCCTCTATTCCTATAATCCTATCACTGACCTAACATTAAGTTATGAGAACCTCTGTAGTAAGCTGTACAGCCCCTCACCTTTCCCCTTGCTTCCTCACTCTTCCTCACCTTCATGCTGCATCATACTATGCAAACTCACTACAGTCAAACCCACCAAAGAACAAAACCAGATGGTTACCCTGAGTTCAGAAAAATGTAACGGGATCATTATCCTATTCATATACACTAACCGTAAACACAAAGTGGAAAGCATCGAGTCCTGCTTCTATACCAGAGATTCCCCTCCATACCAATCAATATACCTCCTTCACTCTCAGGCCAGGTGACTAAGTCGTGGAAATTAGAAACCCCTTCGAGGTGGTGTCTTTTGATTCTTTCATCAACCCTATCCCCATAATTGTTCCTCCAGGCCCCACTACCTAGTGTTAAGCCATGCAAAGGATGGTATCAAAAATTCCCACTCTAGTGTGACAAGTAGTAAGCTCCTCTCTTTCTTTAATCCTCCATTTCACTTATGGTTCTTGGAGGATAATAAACTAAGATGTTTCTCAGCAGTCTACTGAACTATATTGAACCGGATAAAACAGGAATTTTGCTATAGGATCAGGGTAGGAAGGTAAGATCATAAACTTCGTTTTACTTGAACAACCTGATCAACAAGTAACTACAGGTATATAGCAGAACATCATGAAAACAAAATAATCCCCCTCCATGTATCTCTGCATCTACCTCTGTGATTCCAAACATACCTAATTTCCTCTGTACACTTCCTGCGACCCCCACAACAATAAATGAAAGACATGCTTCCAGAATTATCCCCAAACTATCAGATCAATCATTCATTCTTCCAGCTAAACCGTCAAACCCCCGTAACCCCTAGAACGCAACTTTGACCTTCCATCATCCTTCCCGCACCCTCCACCATCAACCACAGCTCATAGTCTCTTTATCGATTCCAACAAAGATAGCACAGAACCTCACAGAATCGAGGGCGAAAGCTACCCCGACCACGCCAACCCCACTCCGCTAAATGGGAGGATAGCTATGGAGCCAAAGGAGAGATTTTCAAGGCACCAGAGACATTCCCGAGGAGACAGAAAATTTCCGGCTGGGAGAGGGGGTACCATTAGAAGAACTCCGATAGCGAGTACGAAAAAGATAGAGAGATTCGAGTTGACTGGGCTGATTGATTCTGAAGCGGAAGAGCCGGGAATACACAAGAAAAGGATACAAGAGCAGAGGGAGCATGGAGCATGGAGGGTGATAAAACTACCAATATTGAATACAAGGAGGTTAGGGCAAAGAGAGCCAGTTCGGTAGCTATACTCAAGTCGGGGTCAGAAACAATTACAGTAAGCAATGCTTTCATCTCTGTTCTCTGGTGGGTTTACTGCCCCCAATATCATTCACTCCGATCTGCAATAGGTTTACAGTATTTTTGCTACAGAGAACACCAGTACCTTTACGACAGTCATAAGGAGCCTAAGTAAATGTAATTCAATGTTCTATGCCAACCCAAGGCCAGTTCTTCTAGCGCCAGTAGTGTGTGAAATCGGTGAGGATTAGACAACAAAATCGGATATTCAGTTAGGCCGAGACCCCTATAAGATTATTGACGGAGAGTCCCAAGGCAGCCCCCGCGGGGCGCACGGTTCCTCTCCCGATATTTCATCAAAACCGCCACAACCAAACTTACCTAAAACTCGATTTCAAAAAAAACCTCGACCGCTACCAAAAGTAAACCGCTAACTCGATGGTATGTTATGGGGACCCCCCCCTCTGCCACTATATACGCACCCTCCTCCTGTTCCACATTTCTCTTTACCTTGCCCCACACAATCCAAACTCATCACAACTCCACCCACCAAGAAGACGACAGAACGGTTTTCCGGGATCCACAGGCCGCATGGTGTACACGTGAGGTCGAAAGGATCCGTCGCCATCCCTGTGCTAGAGATCGCTCTTCCACTATGGCCAATAAAGACACCTTCACCCTCTGGCCAGGCGGCCAAGCAGCTGTTATCAAAAACCCCTTCAAGGAGATATCTCCGTACTCTTCTGTAATCCCCACCCTCGCCATT